GGAAATAAGGGTGTGTTAAGGTCTCCTGTTAAAATTGTGGTATTGGATATTAGATTTTTCATGTCCATTAAGATTTGCTTTATATAGTTGGGTGCTCCTGTGTTTGGTTCAACCTCTTCCTCTTGAACTTTTCCCCTAAGCAGTATATAGTGGCCTTCTTTATTTCACTTGATCCTTTTTAGTTTGTAGTTGAAACTGTCTGACAATAGGATTGTGCCTCCTGCTTTTTTTCTTAGGTGCTGGGTTATGTAGTATTGTGTTCTGTCCTTTGACTTTCAGCCTATGAATGTCTTTATGAGTTAAATGTGTTTCTTGTATACAGCATATTGTTGGATTTTGTTTCCTAATCTACTATGCCAGTCTATTTCTCCTAATTGGTGAATTGAGTCCATTTACATTGATGGTTAGAATTGAGATGTATTGACTTACAGTTGACATGTTATTTACCTGTTGTTGTTTACTCCTTTTTCTCTTGTGTTTAATTGCTTGCCCTATTTAGTTGGTTGCATTTGATCTCATTCGTGGAATTCTGATCATTTTGGTCCCTCTCTAGAACATCTTTCATTAGCCTGTGTAGGCTTGGCTTTGTCATCACAAAATTCTTTAGCTGTTGTTTGTCATGAAAGTATTTCACTTCTCCATCAAACTTGAAAGAGTTTTTCAGGGTATAGTAGTCTGGTCTGAAATTTGTTTTCAAAGAGGACTTGAAGTACTCTGCTCCATGCTCTTCTTGCCTGCATGGTTTGTGAAAGAAGTCGGCCATAATTCTGATGGGTTTTACTTTGAATGTGATCTGCTCCTTTTCTCTAGCGGCTTTCAGTAGATTATTCTTGTGCTGAATTTCTGGGATCTTGACTATTATATATCTCAGTGTGTTTTTCATTGGGTTGAGGTTCCTTTGTGTTCTGTATGCTTTGGTTACCTGAATGTCAGATTGTTTCCTCATATTTGGGAAGTTTTCTGCTATTACTTCTGCCCATATTTTTTGAATGTCATTTGTATTGAC